CCCTCCCTCCCTCCTCCCTCCCTCCCTGCCTCTCTCACACGCCTTTAAACTAGATTCGGACGTTTGCATGTCTCTGAAGCACCGTAGAGAAAAGGTTCCCATGCAACGTACGTCAGGCAAGTGATATCACGCAAAGCAACTGAAGTGTGATAACGAATATCACAATAGCTAGTAGGAAGAAGAAGATGAATCTTCTTCACCACATTGATGAATCTTCAGTGACTCTTCACCGCATTAAGGAAGAGCAGGACGAAGAAGAAGAAGAATCTCCGTCATGAAGAAGAAGAAGAAGAAGAAGAAGAAGAACAAGAACAAGAAGAAGAAGAAGAAGAAGAAGAAGAAGAAGAGGAGATGGAGAGAGGGAGGGAGGGAGGGAGGGAGGGAGGGAGGGAGCTGAAGGAAAAATCAATGTTAAGGAAGATCGCTATCCGTTTGTATGAGGGGTAAAGACAGTCGTGCCTCGTTATTCAGCCATTCTTTTTTTCAGCTCCGATGGACGGCCAACAAATCCGTAGCAGCCGGCTTTTTCTTTTTTTTCCGCAATTTTTTTTTTTCCCGCAATTTTTTGAATAGTCCGTCTTTATTATGTTGAAAAGGAAAAGCCGCGCTCAATTATTTCGCACCGTTGTTTTTCAATTAAGGTAACTCTGTTTAGTACTTTCCTTTTCATGTGCGGAAAAAAAAGTCCTCAGCGGCTTTTTTTTTGTGTCTTTTTCAAATCCAGTGACATCTGGCTGTTTTTTTTCCCCTTTTCCAATTCCAATTTCGCACCGTTGTTTTTCAAATCTAATGTAAAATTATAAAATAATACCTTTGCACCGTTTTTTTTTGTTTTTTTTTTTGGTCTTTTCCAATTCGAAGAATTTACATGGTGAAGAAAATACGGCTGCATTATTTATTTACCAAATTACCACTTTTTTTTTACTTTTTTTTTTTTTAAAACAACTGTACCTTACGCCGAAGTTCACCTAAAACAATTTCTAAGCAGGCTTTGAGCTCTGTCACTTGTGTGGTACACAGAGAGCATCCATCAAAATTCTCTCTTAACTCGCGATGTCGTCGAAATCCGCTTTATTACGCGATGAACGCAGGGGCGTTTTTTTCTTTTCTTTTCAATCTCGATATACCGTAAACAATCCCTTTACTTTTTTTTTTTTCCCTTCCCGCGTAGGCTTGTACAATTCAGTGTCCTGTCTCGCATTTGTACGGTATTTTGTACGGTATAGATAATGCCGCTCTGTTACTTAGCAATTTATCTGCCTATTGTACGGTATAGATAATGCCCTCCGTGAATTCGATCCATTGTACGGTTGATTGGAATTTGAAGAACCTGTTAATTTGTGTTAAATAAGAATTTTTTCCTTCGCTGATACGCGCAATGACATGAATTGATAGTATTCCTTTTTTTTTTTCTTTTTTTTTTTTGCCTTGTTAATTTTTAAAAGAGCCTTTCGCAATGTAAGCGTGTCGTGACGTCTATTAAAATGTTGGGACGTTACAGAAAAGATTAGCATGGTCCGTGCGCGAGGATGACCGCAAAAATCGGAATTATTCCGTTATTTGTTCTATTGTTTATAAGAATTTAAATAAGAAATTAGTAAACAACTTAATTATAAATAATAAAAAAAACGCCTCCTGGAGGGATGCATCTGACAGCAATTAAAAACTCTGTGCCTGTCTTTCTATTTCTCTCTCTCTCTCTCTCTCTCTCTCTCTCTCTCTCTCTCTCTCTCTCTCTCTCTCTCTCTCTCTCTCTCTCTCTCTCAC